CTGGCTGACTGGCTGCACTCAGTGTGTGGTTCTCAATGGAACTGCATCTACATGGAGGGAAGTGTGTAGTGGGGTGTCCGAGGGCTCTGTTCTGGGCCCAGTACTCTTCAACATCTTCATCAACGATTTGGATGAAGGGATAGATGGGGAACTCATCAAATTTGCAGACGACACCAAGCTGGCAGGAATAGCCAATACTCCAGAAGACAGGCTTCAGATACAGAAGGATCTGGACAGACTTGAACACTGGGCACTAACTAACAAAATGAAATTCAATGGTGAAAAAAGCAAGGTTCTACATTTAGGCAAGAAAAACCAAATGCACAAGTACAGCATAGGTGGCACCATGCTCAATAGTAGTAACTGTGAGAGGGACCTCGGAGTCCTAGTAGACAATCACTTAAATATGAGCCAGCAGTGTGCTGCAGCTGCCAAAAAGGCCAACACAGTTGGTCTTCCTTCTCTTGCAGTTTTCCAAGATCATTTTGTCTATTAGGAGTTGATCTTTTGTTCCTCTGCAATTGGGGTGGTTTTCTTTCTGCTCAGGTGGAAAGAGATTATTTTCAACTAGATGCTGTTGGACTGCATCAGCTACCACACCAGTTAGCAATTTGAAAGGTTGGTAAGCAGGTAATTGGCCTATAGTTGCCTGGTGTTGCCCCTTTTGCTGGATCTTTCATTATTAAATAGGTTTTCCCAGTTGTTAGCCACTTTTCAATTTCTCCTCCTTGTAGTATGATGTTGAACTGCTTGGCAATGAGTGGGGTATATAACAGTTAGATGTTTCAACCAAAACCCATGCAGTTCATCTTCACCTGGTGCTGACCAATTCTTGATCTTCCTTGTTCTTTTTTCTACCATTCTGTTGTTATTACTAATTCTTTCATTTCAGCTTCTGTTTTATTTGCATCCACCTCTTTTAACCAAACTGCATCCTTGTTGTATTTCTTTGGGTTATCTCATATCTGCTTCCAGAACTGCACTGTTTCTTCCTTGTCAGGTACTGACTGATTCATTGCAGTTTCTTCATTGATGGAGTGGTAGAAATGTTTCTGAAATTGGAGGTTCTGTCTATAATTTGAGCTTCGTATCTGCTGATTTTCCTGGCTATAGCTGTTATTTGCTGCTTTATTATTTCCAGTGCTTCCTTGATCTTCCTTGTTTCTAAGTGGTGTTTCTTGATTAGGTATTCTTTGGTCTCCTTGTTCTTCAGCTTCTTTTTTTTTCATCTGTTCTAGCTTGCTTGCATCTGATCTCAACTTGCTGATCTTATTTTCCAGTCTAACCTTCCATTTTTGTGGTGCACTGTTTGTTTATTTTTCTTCTTTGTTGATTTTGCATCCCAGGTATTCAATTATAACTGCAGCTGTGCTGTACATTAGTTGGTTGCTTCTTGTACTGAACTGATGCTTATACTTGATATTGCAGTATTTGCATCTTTTAATGCTTGTGCTAGCTGTTTCTTTGGAACAAACTTCAATGCAGGCAGCCTTATTCTGTTGTTTTTGTGCTGTTCTAAATGCTCAGTTATTCTTTGTTTGTTTATTACTACTACTACTACTACTACTACTATTATTATTATTATTATTATTATTATTATTATTAATTATTGAGTTGGACCCAATGCCAGCTGTATGACCTTAGGCCAGTTACTCTCTCTCAGTCCTAAGAAGGAAACCAATTCCAAAAATTTCACCAAGAAAACTGCAGACAAGGAATGTCATTTTGTACATGTCAGCGCTGTGACAATTGAGAAACTGTAGCCATTTTACCTTTTGCTTTCCTTGTACTTTTTTCTGTTGTTTCAGATTCTCAGGTGTAGAAGGGGGAAAATGCTTGAGCATTTTCTGTTAGCCATAACAATTGCAGCTGGGTGAGAATCAAGGTCAATGTTAGATAAAGTTTTGGCGGGTTGAAAAGTTGGGAGGAGAGCCTACCTTTTAGAATAATTGGTGAATGTGATTTATGACAGTCTTTCTGGGGTGGGAATTGCAACTTGTTATTTTGAATCAGGAGGGAGGGAATTTTAGTCTTGGGTTCAGCTATATAAGTGCCAATACTTTGTTTCCTAAATAAAATGTTCTTCGGTTGGTTTCATCTATCAGAACCATGACAGTACCCTTGCAATATTAGTGAATTGGCATAAGCCTATTGCAGAGTATTCCAGTGATTTCCTTCCACAATACCCATGTCATATTCACTCTTGCACACACTTTTCCATTAATGCCACCATCACTTTACAGATGGAATCCTAAGTAATGGAAGGAGTTTGTCTTTAGTAGATTTTTGCCACTTACTGGATGGTGGAGATACTTAGGCTAGTCTCTAAATACTCAGTCTTCTCTATATTGAGGTGCAAACTGAATTGGGTAAGACAGTCACTCCATGTCTGGATACAGCTCTATGGTTGTTCCATGATGGTATCCAAGAGAAGCATCAATAAATACATATGCATATGTTTATAAATGGTCATCCTATTGGCTTTGTGTTTGAAATGGGACCTTGCCTACTGCCCCTATATACCATCTCTCAAAGCACAAATATAATGGCAAAAGTTTTCTTGAATAGGAAACCAGATCAGTGGTTGATGCCATGATTACAATCAAGTATCATCTCTTTGGTTCAAACTGACCCAACCTGTATATGGAAGTGAATGAATGAATCCATCACCAATGATCTCTTCTGTTCTTTATTGTTTCACTACCTTAACCTATCCCCTTCATAGATTACTGCCTTGTCATGGCAAAGGGGCTTGCGTAACTCAATGAAGCTATGAGCTATGCTTTGTAGGGCCATCCAAGATGAGCAGGTCATAGCAGAGAGTTCTGACAAAATGTGATCCACTGGAGAAGGAAATGACAACCCATTCCAGTATCTTTGCCATGAAAACTCCATGGACAGTACCAAAAGGCAAAAAGATATGATGCTGGAAGATGAGCCCCTCAGGTCGGAAGGTGTCCAATATGCTACTGGGGAAGAGCAGAGGGCTAGTACTAGTAGTGCCAGAAAGAGTGAAGCGACTGGGCCAAAGCCGAAAGACGCTCAGCTGTGGATGCATCTGATGGTGAAAGGAAAGTCTGATGCTGTAAAGATCTATCTTCCATAGGAACCTGGAATGTAAGATCCATGAATCAAGGCAAGCTGGAAAACCAAGATCATGGCATCCAGCCCTCTCAATTCCTGGCAAATAGATGGGGAAAAAATGGAGGTAGTGACAGATTTTATCTTCCGGGGCTCCAAGATCACCGCAGATGGGGACTGCAGCCAAGAAATTAAAAGACGCTTGCTTTTGGGGAGTAAAGCTATGGCAAATCTATTCAGCATACTAAAAAGCAGAGACACCACCCTGCCAACAAAAGTACATATAATCAAGGCCATGGTCTTCCCAGTTGCAATGTATGGCTGTGAAAGTTGGACCATAAGAAAGGCTGAGTGCCAAAGAATTGAGGCCTTTGAACTATGGTGCTGGAGAAGACTCCTGCGAGTCCCTTGGACTGCAAGGCAATCAAACCGGTCAGTCTTAGAGGAGATCAACCCTGACTGCTCATTAGAAGGCCAGATCCTGAAGTTGAAACTCAAATATTTTGGCCACCTAATGAGAACAAAGGACTCACTGGAAAAGAGCCTAATGCTGGGAAAGATTGAGGGCAATAGAAGAAGGGGATGACAGAGAATGAGGTGGCTGGATGGAGTCACTGAAGCAGTAGGCATGAGCTTTAATGGACTCCAGAAGATGGTAGAGGACAGGAAGGCCTGGAGAAACATTGTCCATGGGATCGCGATGGGTCAGACACAACTTTGTAACTAACAACAACAACAACCTTAACCCATAGAATAACTCATCTATAAATATCCATTCATTTCACAATTAAAGTTATTCAATCAGCCTTTAGGAGAGATACCTATAAAGACCCAAGATTGACCTGAACATCAGGAGGTGAGGATTCTGCCTTAGTGCAGCACCCATACACTAGATTTCACCTCCATATATTAAACACCTAAAGGTCACAGGTATCGTTTGAAGAAATGAAATTTGTTTACATCAAAGGATGTAACAAGAAAGCCTATCAGGAATCTCAGTTTGAAAGAAAACAATTAACATCTCTGTGGCTAGAAACCTGGCTTGAAGGATTTAGTGACAAGGGCAGCAAGGGCAAAGAAAGTCATATTTAAGAGTAAGATGCAGTCTCCAGTGGATCATTTGAATTTCATCTGCAGGATAATTTCCACGCCATTTAGCCTTATCCATAGCAGAAGTAAAGGGGGCTAAATAGATGATTAAACTGACAAAGTCATACAAGAGGTGGGGAGGGATTCAGCCATGTGGGCAAGAGGCACGATAGATTTCAATGATACGCTAGGATAGTTTAGTGACAAATTAGGGATTTTAAGTATTTACAAAATGATATGGTACCACTGGAGAAAAGGGTAGTAATATATACATCCAGGATTTATGGCGTGTTGAAGATTTATCTTATAAACAGAAGACAGAATTTAAAAAACACACACATGGAATAGATTGAAACGGTTCTCAGTAACGGTTGACAGTACAACTGTGCTCCTACACCTCATTTTGTTTGACATTTAAGGCATCACAGATTCCTTATCGGTCAACAGTAGAGGCAAGAATGATAAAAGTCCCTTAATTGATGCAGTTAATTGACTAACTGAGTAAATACAGTTTAAATATATGGATTTTTAATTGGATTTTTAGCAAAGCACTCCTTCCTGGATGGTGTGCCATGTTGGTGACCAGAAAACCATATACTTCTTTTGAAATAAATGATGCATTACAACAGCATTTCTCAACCATTACAACTCTAAGATGTGTGGAATTCAACTCCCAGAATTCCCCAGCCAGCTAGCTGGGGAATTCTGGGAGTTGAAGTCTACACTTCTTAGAGTTGCTAAGGTTGAGAAACATTACATTAGAGATAATTTTTGCAACAATTTCTGTTTTTGTTGTTTAAAGCAAATGAAATTACCTCCATTCAAGATCCTTAAAGATCACTTATGCTTTGATTCATTTATTAATCTCTTACATGAATGACACACAATTTATTAAAAAGATCAAAAAACAATTACACATCTTGGAAATTCAGTATTTAAATTGATAGTTTTTACAGTACATTTACACTTTAATTTTGTATAGCTACAAAATGTTGCATGAGTAAATAAAAGTATTAAAATTTAATTTTGTTATGAGACTTAAGCTTCTGAATTATATATGATGGAAGGATAAAGTGAAATTCTGCATATGGTTTCAACCACATACTGAATTTGACAAATGAAATCAATTGCATTTCATCACTCTGAATCTTCCTCCTAGTTCAAGGGTAGGAAAATGTCACTCCCATTCTGCAGCTTCTAGAATTCCTCAAGATCATGCAGTTAAAATGTGGAAATAAATCACTGATTTTTTCAGTAGTATGATGTTCCCCATTTCAAAAATAAGGGCAAAAAAATCAATAAACTACAAAAATGCTCTCAAAAATAAGGGCAAAAAAAGGAGGATCATTAATCTTTTATACACTTAATGTCTATTTTGCCATTTTAACTTTCCTAGACCCCAAAGTAGAGAAAAAACAGATCACATTTCCTCCAACTACTTCTTTCAGTGATATGAATATGTTACTACTGCCTCTCTCTGAAGCCAAAGTAAATTAACTTAAAACCACACCCTCCCACCAAAAATCCCCCAAAATTCTTAGCTGTAAAATATTTTTGCCACCCTGTTCCTAATATATCGACAGTTTTTCATAATACTACTTCATATGGCTACAGAGAGAGAATATATAAAAGGCCTCAATATAAAAGGAGAATATATCACCTGGATCTTTTCAGCCCATTGACATGGGAACAGGAACATTCAGATACAAGTTGTAGATGAACGAAACAATGGCTTTAGAAATAGTTAGCAGGCAGACCAGAATCTATTAGCATATTACTAGGACGGCAAGTGATCCTCCAAAGCTTCAGGTACAACTGTCACAGTTTTCCCCAAAATGTTATGATGTTTAACTCAACAGAAGGCAGAAGATGTTATAGCTGAATAACTTTAGTTTTTCTAATAAAAAGAAAACAAAGTAGATAGGGCAAGCCTGGAGTCGATTTGCCCTTAGCTGATATCATATGAATATCATGAGCTACCAAAATCTAATTAAGTTACATGTTCTCCAAAGATTTTTTTACACAGTTAGAATATCTATAACATCATGCACAACACGATTTCCCTAATCTAGCCATTTTCATATTTGTCGACTTCAGACTTCAGAATTCTATAGCCAGCATGGCCATAGATAAGGATTCAGAAAGCTGAAATCTACACGTCTGAAAGTTGCCAAGATTGGGAAAAGTTGAGTAGGATCCTTTTGTCATTAGCCAAGTTATCATCTGTTGTTGTTGTGTTTTTTTGTTTTGTTTTGTTTGGCCAGTACTGAAATCCAAGTATGGGGAAAGTATTTCCTATCTAATTTCTGTCTATTGTGCAAAAATTAGAGGCACAGGAAATCTACCAAAGAAGAGCTGGGAACTCTAAAGAAGGTTTCCTTTATTTGGATAGAAAGAAGTTAGAAGTAACAGGGAAGAAATATTGGATGGCAGCTTTTATGTACGGTACAATAAGTAGCCACTAAATGTAGTTACAGGTGGGTATTTTGCTGGGATAGAGCCCTTTGCCAGTCTGAGCCAAACTTCTTGTCCGTAGTTCAGTTCCAATATGGCATCTCCAGTAACTACTCTAGTGACATATTTGTCTCCGCTTCCATTTTCAGATCGGAAAGTTAGCTTATCTGTTCCATCAACCACAAGATAACCTGAGATGGAGGGGCTGCTTGACTCAATGTTATACTCAAAGACATAGATTCCCAAGTAGGGTACGCGGAACCTTCCATTTGCAGGGACATAAGAGGTCCCGTAGTTGACATCCAGATTATTAAATCGAATAGGACCAGGTGTGTTCATTCCGTAGGTGTGCGAAGCAAAAAAGGCGATCATTGGTGCATATCTGTAAGACCCCTTTGAAAAATCTGCAAAACAAACAAGCAATAAAATAATATTGTAAGAAAACTGAATATTGTAAAAAAAAATTGGGTAGAGCTTTTGAACGGTAGTAGACATGATGACACACTTGAACCCATAATTCCAAAGTCCAAAATCAAAAACAGAGATGAAACCTCAGAGCTGCGATGAGGCTGCACTCAGAACACTTGTTAAAGTTTTAGAACTTTCTGAAGACCACCCTTAATGGGATACCATTCTTACAATAGTCAATTACAGGAGTGCTTATAGGCATGATTCAAATTGATAAGTGAGCTTTAGCCCTTTTCTGTGGTCCCAGTCTTCATCAGCGTGCCTTATCTTAATCTGTTGTTGCACTTATAAAAAAAAAGGTTCCCAATAGAAGAATTTTTTTTTTGCATTCTTTTTGTTTGTTAAAATTTTAAAGCTCATACTACAAGACCATCTTTCCCTGGTTCTTTCTACTTTCTGATCTGACAGGATTTTCATCGGTGAAGAAGCAGAGTCATTAGGCAGAGGCCTTCTCTGTGGCCCCTCCTGTATGCTGGAGAAACACCCCCACTGAATGCCATACATGTAGGCCTCAACGTACGACCACAACTGAGCCCAAAATTTCTGTTGATAAGCAAGACGGTTGTTAAGTGACTTTTGCCCCACCTTACGATCTTCCTGGCCACAGTTATTAAGTGGATCACTGCAGCTGTTAAATTAGTAAATTAGTTAAGTGAACCTGACTTCCTCATTGACTTTTCCTGTCAGAAGGTCGCAAAAAGTAATCACATGACTCTGGGACACTGCAACTGTCATAAATACATGGCAGTTGCCAAACCTCCAAATTTTGATCGCACGGCCATGGGATTTCTGCAACACTAAGTGTGAAGAACAGCCATAAGTCACTTTTTTTCATGCTGTTGTAACTTTGAACAGTCACCAAATGAATGGTTGTAAGTCGAGGACTACCCGTATTTCAGAAATTTGTGTTTGGAAAGCCTCCAAGGCTTGGCTTTGTCCCTAGGCCAGAGGGCAGGCTGATTTGTGACCATTTGTCAGTTTCCTACCTGAGCTGTCTTAATCCATGCTCTTTTGGTTTTTTAAATCAATTGTTAAATTCTCCAAAGCGCCTGAAGGCAGGACAAGAAGCAACAGATGGAAACTAACCAAAGAGAGAAGCAATCTAGAACTAAGGAGAAATTTCCTGACAGTGGGAACAATGGATCAGTGGGACAACTTGCCTCCAGAAGTTGTGGATGCTCCATCACTGGAGGTTTTTAAGAGGAGATTGAACAATCATTTGTCTGAAATGATATAGGGTTTCCTGCTTGATCAGAGAGTTGGACTAGTCACTAGAAGACCACCAAGGTCTCTTCCAAATCTGTTATTCTGTTATTACTAATGTTACTAATTTAATTCTTGATTAAAGCTGGGGACAATTATATTACAAAATTCTTTACCAAATCCATGGAGAAACACCGGGTGGGATAATTTTTCAATAGGGCAAAAAAAAAAAAAAAATAGAAAGCATGAGAGATCAAGTTGTTTGAAGACAAGTAACTATGCAGTAAAAAGCAGGGTGTTCATACACAGACACACACCTTTTGGCTTATAATTAAATAAGAGCAGGAACACCACCACTCTTTCCATGACAACTTCTCTGAAGGTGACAGGTTTTTTTTTTGGGAAGAGTTTCAAAAACAATTTTTCTTTCAGATTAAATGAAATACGAGGAAAACGCAAGAGAATATCTCTGCCCAGTAATATTCTCTACCACCCTTCCTTTCCTTTTCCTGCAATTTTCTACATATCCCCCCCCCCCCGAAGTAGTAGCCAATGGGGAGAAAAAAGGGAGGAGAAATCAGCATAATGCTGTCATGTCACAGAATAAGTTTAATGAGGAAGGAGTGCAAGGGGGGAATTGGTGCTCAGAGATGCTATTTTCAGCAATTCGCCCTCTAAGCCTGCCATAACATCCCAGCCTGCCTTTTGTTGTCTTCTCATGCGGAATTGCTGATTTAAGTGGGATCAGCTTCATATAGCAGATTTATAAACTTTCCCCCAGGCCTTCTGTCAAATTCCCAAGAAATAAAGAAGAAAAAGAAAAAAATGAATTTTTAAATTGTACAGAAAGCAATTTTCTTCACAATCAATGTCAAAATGCACCAGAAAAAGTGTGTGAGAGTTTGCAGTCGTGTGCTACTTTATTGAGGAGGGATTTTTAATCACGATTTCTTTCCCTCCAATGTTTAATCACACACTTTTCAAAAGTAACAAGTTTGCCCAAAAAATACCAACTATGTTTAAGATAATGAATGGAGGAGGAGGAGGAGGAGGAGGAGGAGGAGGAGGAGGAGGAAGAAGAAGAAGAAGAAGAAGAAGAAGAAGAAGAAGAAGAAGAAGAAGAAGAAGAAGAAGAAGAAGAAGAAGAAGAAGAAGAAGAAGAAGAAGAAGAAGAAGAAGAAGAAGAAGAAGAAGAAGAAGAAGAAGAAGTAGTAGTAGTAGTAGTAGTAGTAGTAGTAGTAGTAGTAGTAGTAGTAGTAGTACTGCAATATGTTAAGGGGCTTTCCACAAATTACAATTGAAAGCCATGCCTAAAATGTAAGATGTGAGTATATAAATATGCATTATTTATATACATTATTATGCATTAGGATTTTTTTTCTTTAGCAGATATAACTGCACAAGCCAGTTGTTGGCATGCAGCTTTTTGGGGGCAGCTGTTAGGATCTCAAACTAGAAAAATGCCTCTCCTAATGTCAATTAAACCATATTTTTGGATCTTTTGGGCAGGGGGAGCCAATAATGAGTGAGAAATGTTCAAGTTAATGTCCAAAACATTGGAGAGATTCCTAGGAGCCTCCAAATGTTGCTATCAAAATTTAATTTTAAAAGTGATGGAAGAAAAAATTACTTAGTTCATTATATTAGGTATATTAAATTTTAATTGCACACATATATAAAAGAAAGCAGGGTTTTATTTGTCCTGGCTGTGCCTATTATTTTTGGCAGGTGACCCTTGGCATATCCCTCAAAGCCAAGGTCAGCACTTGGCACAAATTAAAATTGGATGTTTCTGCCCTAAAAGAAATTAGAAGTCTTGTTCTGTTTTCTTAGATTAGAACAATGTTTCTCGACCTTTGCTACTTTCAAAGATGTGGGCTTCAAATCCCAGAATTCCTCAGCCAGCAAAGTTGCCAAGGTAGATAAACCTTAGATCAAAGGTCCCCAACTCCCGGTCCGTGGACCAGCACCAGGCCGCAGCATGCCAGAAATCAGGCTGCACAAACAAGCAAAGCCCCATCCATGGGATGCAGGCAGCATGCAAAACCACACCTCCTCTGGTCTGTGGAAAAAACTGTCTCCACAGAATCAGTCCCTGTTGCCCAAAAGGTTGGGGGCTGCTGCCTTAGATGTTACTGTCCCATTTCTGGCTGCTCAAAAGTTTGCCTGGAGGATCCATCAGAGAAAGAGGAACTCACCAAAAGAATTTTTCTATAGTTCCTTCACTCTGGAGCTTCTCTAGAGTTACCAGCTGAGCCCCAAGCAATGCATGAAACCACCTGAATGCTTTAGGACATGGACAAATATAAATGCAGTCCTATATACAATGCTCGGATCAAAGGCCCTAACCTGAGACTCCAGGCTAAATGCAGAACTTCCACATCTTGGGAAGCCCAACTAAATGGGAAGTTAGAGTGCAGTACTGCAGGCCACTTTAGCTGACTGTGTTCAGCAGGTCAGCGGTTCAAATCTCACCGGTTCAAGGTTGACTCAGCCTTCCATCCTTCCGGGGTAGGTAAAATGAGGACCCAGATTGTTGGGGGCAATGTAAATATGTATATATACACATTGCTTACTGGTGTACACCGCTTAAAGAGTGCTTGCACTTAAAGCGGTATATAAGTCTCATAAATAAATAAATAAGTTAATTATTGAAGGCATGGGTAATATTCATATGGCACTTTTTAATGAAATCTAAATGTAAGCTAAAATAAAATTTATTTTTGTCCTGGTTCTTTCTACCAGGCTGGAGTGAGCTGGCTTTGATTTACTTCCATCTTTCCTGCACAAACCCAAAACAGCCTCTTGCTGTTTTTCCATTGTTAACCCCTCAGCAAAGTCACCTAGTGAGTTTTGATGGCTGAAGGTTGACTTCATCTTGGGTCTCTTCAGTCCTAGTCTAGAATCTTAATCTGTGGTTCATGTCCCCCTGGGCAGTTGTAAACATATCTGAGAGGGGCCAGCAATTTCTGACCAACTTACTATGATGTTTCGGAGGTCAGGGAATGAGGGCCTTGCAAGGCTCTGTCTCCCAGAAATGCAAGGGTCTCAGCTTTAGTTGACACATGGCCAATGGGGAGGAAAAGTATAGCATAGCCCAGCCAGTTTCCCATTCATCCTGGATATATTATTCTACATGGGAAATGAATGGGGAGGTGGGGGGTGGGGAGTGGAACAGAACACTGCAACCCAAAGCAAATTATTGGCAGAGGGAAGGAAGGAAGGAAGGAAGGAAGGAAGGAAGGAAGGAAGGAAGGAAGGAAGGAAGGAAGGAAGGAAGGAAGGAAGGAAGGAAGGAAGGAAGGAATCTTATGTCTTATAAAGATAAGAGGTCCAGGATCCAGCCTGGTCAGAAACACCTCCTCAGATCCAGGAAGAAAGCACAGTGCCAAGCTTTGGAACTGGCCATAAGAAAACACAATGACTTTATAGCAGTGGTGCGAACCTATGGCATGGGTGCTAGAGGCAGCACTCAGAGCCCTCTCTGTGGGCACGTGCACCATTGCCTCAGTCCTAGGCCTTCAGCTGGGTTTCATAAAAAAAAAAAGCTTTAGGCCTCCACCGCCATGTACAAAAAAAAATGTTCAATCAATCAGTCAATTTCAACTTCTCGCAGAAAAAAAAAGATTTTGCAAAGTTGGAATTGATTGATTGAACTTTTTAGTCCCACCCAGTCTGCTGTTACCACCGCAGCCACGTCCACCCAATGGGCCACACCCACCTGGCACCCGATGATGCATAAGTGGGTTTTGGGTTGCAGTTTGGGCACTCGGTCTCTAAAAGGTTCGCCATCACTGCTTTATAGGATATTCATGACAATACTAAGTTTGGAAACCCTGCCTTAACTATTATCTCACACTGTCCCACTAGACCCAGACCAATTTTCCTGAAGTAGAAGTTTGAAATGCAGCCCATGTGTGCAACCTTAGCTGTGCATTCATTTTCCCAATCATGCAATTTCATAGCTTTAGAAAAGTGCTGTCCTGTTCTCAGTTTACCTATTTATGACTGGGCTACTTGACTAAATGCCATCTTGTTTGATCTATCAGAGACCTGCTAGTTATTTATTAAATTTCATATGTTTGGAGGATTATATGTTTGGAGGGTTATAGGCTCTCATTATATAATAAATATCTTCACCATTGATCACCTCAGATGGGGACTGCAGCCAAGAAATTAAAAGATGCTTGCTCCTGGGGAGGAATGCTATGGCAAATCTAGACAGCATACTAAAAAGCAGAGACATCACCCTGCCCAAAAAAGTACATATAATCAAGGTCATGGTCTTCCCAGTTGCAATGTATGGCTGTGAAATTTGGACCATAAGAAAGGCTGAGCGCCAAAGAATTGAGGCCTTTGAACTATGGTGCTGGAGAAGACTCCTGTGAGTCCCTTGGACTGCAAGGCATTCAAACCGATCAGTCCTAGAAGAGATCAACCCCGACTGTTCTTTAGAAGGCCAGATCCTGAAGTTGAAACTCAAATACTTTGGCCACCTAATGAGAAGGAAGGACTCACTGGAGAAGGGCCTAATGCTGGGAAAGATTGAGGGCAATAGAAGAATGGGACGACAGAGAATGAGATGGCTGGATGGAGTCACTGAAGCAGTAGGTGTGAACTTAAATGGACTCCAGAAGATGGTAGAGGACAGGAAGACCTGGAAGAACGTTGTTCATGGGGTCGCGATGGGTCAGACACGACTTCGCAATTAACAACAACAACAAATCTTCACCATTAAGTGGGGCATCTTGTTCTCCTCCCTTCAGTCTCTGGCCAATAGCTGGAGAAGTTGGAAACATCACTGAAGGCTTTTAAAAAGAGACTGGACAGCCCTTTGTCTGAAATGCTACAGTGTCTCCTGCTTGAGCAGGGGATTGGACTAGAAGACCTCCAAGGTCCCTTCCAAGTCTGTCATTCTGTTATTCTGAAACAGGTGCAGTATGTTTTGCATATGCTCACCTATGGCTGCAGCATTTTCCTCCGTCATCTTGGCGCTGCAGTTGGCTCCTCCAAAGGGATAGCGACAAGCACAGACGAAGCCCTTCCTTTCATTGACACAGGTCCCGCCATTTTGACACGGGGAGCTACTACAGCTCAGATAATCCCCTGGATTGAAAATGAGAAAGCGTGAATAGTAGCACCCAAAATTAAAGTTAATATATCTGTAGTCCCTGATTTCTGTCATCTCTCCACCAACTTGATAGGGATGAATGACTTCATCGTTTCCTTTGCAATCCATGTTAGTTTTCTTTTTTTTTAAAATAATATTTTATTAATTTTCCAATTTTACATTTAAGTATTTAAAAAGCAACGTGGTGACTGGGTTAATCAATAGTTCAATAACAAAATCTTTAGTACAAATCTCAAGTTGCAACATCAAGTATTTCCTCTCTTTTTTCCTTAACATTTAGTGTCTCGAATTCAAACTAGTAGAGTTCTTATTATATCAACTAAATAAAAACATCATTATTACATTTATCAATAAATTTTTAGCTTATACATATCTTAATTACATTCAATCTTCATAAACAATCCATATCCTGTTATTAATTTTTACCCAATTTTTAGTTTCTCATCAATATCCCAATTTAACCTTTGATATTTATAATTTTCAAGCCTTAGGTAACCAAAATTTCCCTTATCTCAATTCATAAAAAAATACATATTTTATCTATTTGAATATAATCTTATTCTATTTTCTCAGTGTTATCTATTTTCCACCATATTAAATCATCTACTTAATAATACAATATCCCCTTTAATAAATCAAAATCATGTCGGTTTTCTATAAGTTGAGTCCAAACTTTTGCAGAATTCATGTCTTGCTTCGCTAATATATATACCACTATCTGTAGTTTTACCCAACATACATGCATGCATTTTTTGGTTTTTATTTATTTATTTATTAAACATATGCCATTCATCTTACCTAGAAATGGTGGCTTATAACCATTAAAAGCAACAAGATGAAATACTAAATTAGTATTAACACTAAAGTCTATTTAAAACTTTATAAAAAAGATGGGAAGGAAGGAAGCAAAATCCAGGTGGAAAGGAGGTGGAGCTTTGCCTTAGCCCAGGGGTGTCAAACTGCCGGCCCAGAGGCCGAATGAGTCACGCAGAAGCCACGCCCACCCCAGCTCTGGCAAGGGGAAAAAAGCCGTGATATGTCACGTGACGCGGTGAGTTTGACACCCCTGCCTTAATCTGTTAATCCTTTTCCCTAGTAATCAAGGTTAGAGCATAGACATCCATCTCAAAATTTACTAATCCACTGTAAAAGTTAACAATTCCCAGTCATACATTATATCCATAGTCACCTGAAAGGAAAAAAAACCTAAATTTGAGACAAACCTCTTCACCCTCAAATATGATACAGGAAAAGAAACTAATCTTCAAATTGTCATACCCTCAGAAAATCTAAGATGACCCTTACATTTTACAACTAAATTACTGGATTGATGGGGCTGATGGAAAGAGCCTAATATATACAATATTTGTCTGGAAAGTGCAAATTAGGCCGGTTCATTTGGACTAGAGAAATGAACAGAATTTTTCTCTACCATTCCTAGTTAAGAATGATAAAAGAAGAAAGGCAGCCACCATTATTTATTTGCATATAAATTATGCTGTTTTCAGGCTCAGTGTATTTGTTCTCCCTAATGTTATTTGCCGTGGGGGGATTTCATCAGACATTCTTCAGTGGCATAGATGATATTGGGACTCAACTGGCTAATCAGTCATCATTTTTGCAAATCTCAAGTGAATGGGATGTACTCAGCCCAACTCTGCGTGCCTGGATATACTGTCAAGTAACATTTCATTCATCAATACAAGACCTTTTAGTGCTTTACAATCCAGTTCCCATTTTATAGTTGAGAATCTGAGCTGTGATTTCCCAAGGATTTTTGGACTGGAACAAACCTGGATATTGTGAAGGTTGATTAATAGTATAAGAATAATGGAAGCCTGTCCTTTTATCATCAAAATAGAAACTTTTGGTGAAAAACCTCCCTATTACAGTGTTTTTCAGCCTTGACCATTTGAAGATGTGTGGACTGGCCAGGGAATTCTGGGTATAGAAATTCATATATCTTCAAGCAGCCAAAATTGAGAAACAGTCCCTACAGAATAATGTTTGTCCTTGGCCAAAATTTTGTCTTTAGGAATTAACTGCACATTTAAATCTTCTTAAAATTTTGGTAGACCATCCTATAGCAGAATGCATGCAATATATAAACACTATCATACTGGGGAATATCAATCATTATATTTATGACCCACCTTCTTCCAAAAATATTCAGGGCAATAGCACTTACATTTATATACCACTTCCTAGTGCTTTACAGCCCTCTCTAAGTGGTTTACAGAGTCAGCATATTGCCCTCAACAATCTGGGTCCTCATTTTACTGACCTCAGAAGGATAGAAGCCAGAGTCAACCTTGAGTCAGTCAGAATTGAACAAATGTCAATGAACAGTGAGTTACCCTGAAATGCTTCATTCTAACCCAGGGGTCCCCAACCCCCAGTCCATGGACCAGTACTGGGCAACAGCATGCCAGCAACTGGTCCACACAAACAAGCAAAACCCCATCTGCACACAAAAATCATGCCCCCTTCGGTCCATGGAAAAACTTCTCTCCATGGAACTGGTCCCTGGTGTCCCAAAGGTTGAGGACCTCTGTTCTAACCATTGCACCACCATGGCTCAATACTGGACAGTATACAGTGTACAGTACATGGCTTCCCATCTCAGCTTATTTCCCCACAACTTGCCTATGTAAATCTATGCTGAGAAAGCAAGTAAATTAAATTATTAGTGAGCAGAAGGATTGATAATGGACTGGAATTCAGGCCTCTGTAACTCTAGCCTGACACTGTAATTCAATATTTCTCAATGCTGGCAAATTTCAAGATAGATGGATTTCAGTTCTCAGAATTCTGCCAGCATACTGGTTGGAGATTCTGGGAGGTAATCCACCCATTTAAAGTTGCAAGGTTGAGAAATATTGCTGTAATAACTACACCAGAACATAATGCCTTCTTGGCTTTTAAAGTAAGACAAGTTATTGCAAAGACATTCAATATAACAGACCAATATAGCCTTTAGCAATATAACAAGCAGCATCTGCTAAGAGGCTAGAGTTATTACATAAACATGTCTCTATTTTGATGTCTGAAATACCAGTTGGGCAGGTATACATTAACAATGTTAATACTAGTGAAATAGAACAAGCACCTGAAGGCATTTTGAATATTCTGCAAGATGCCACAAAGCATTTTGTATATAGGAATATGCCAAAGAATAAACTCTATAAGTACAACAAAATCAGGGTATGTAGCTGTTTTTAGCTCCATTATAGATTGCAGGAAGAGGATGACAGTGAAGTTAAAATACCTTTCATACTGAAAGCTGTCTCTACAAAAAGAAGGGTTCAACCTATCACTTCACAACCTATAATAACTTGATGCTTTTCTTTAAACAGCACTATAATATATTATCTGTAGTTAGTAGCCATTCTACAATGAGAAAGATTTCTTTTTTTTTTACAAATTTTATTTATAATACAGTTAAAAACAAACAAACATTGGATTTAACGTGACATTCCAGTATATACATTCTTATCAGATTATTCCACTTTTTACAATCAATTCTTCATCTCTACATACACTGTTTGATGCCCCTTTTTAAGAACTGCCTTCTTTGCATCAATTTATCACCTATATCACTGGGAATTTGGGCAATGTGAATTTATTTGTTTTCCTCTCTTCTCTGCATTGTCTTTCTACTTTTTCCTCATAGGTGCAAGGGTACAACTTGGATCATTTTTAAAACCATCCTACAACATCTAAAAAAATGTAGACATTTCATAAACAAATCCTAATAATTCCTCCATGCAGCTTGCATTGATACATCTGGATATAGGATACTTCCTTGATTCTATTACCTATACAATATAAATTGAAGACTCAGATGCAACCAGATCCCCCTTGAATTAGACTCTAGAAATCATTGTTCTCTAGCACTGTGGTACATAATTGAACTGAGTTGAATTATGAGAGAATATACAACAAATTTATCACTTAAGGTTTCTAAATAATAATAACAGAATATGCAACAATATTTCCAGACAGGTTAGCCTCCAAGTATTGAATGAATAGTCCAGATATGCTCAAAAGGTAGGTAGATGAATTTGGGAGATGAAAAGGGTTTTCAGAATGAGTGCTGACTGCTGGCAGATGTATGAATTGCCTCTTTTCACAGGCACTTCATTGCTACTCTGAGCTATTTTTATTTGCAGTCCAATTATAGCACTTCAACAGTGATGAATATGAACTTCCTAGGCTAAATGCAAAGCTTTGTGTGAGTCCACCTTCCCCTTCTAAAGTTAGATAGATGAGGTTTGCAGCCTGAAACACACTGAGAAGTTTTTGTGTGTCTTAAATAATCATTCACTCATTCTTTATCTCTTGCTTCCAACGAGCATTGCATTCCATTGATCATAACAATAATGTTCAGGACAAAGCAATGTACTAGTGGAGTTCAAATGTCAGGAACACAAGAGGAAATGCTATCTTACTTGGCTTTATTTATAGGATTTGCAAATAAAGAGGAAAACACAAAACAATGTCCCATATACTACAGTATACCCAAGACTAGTTCTGGCATATATACAGTGTGTTTATGTCTGTGTCTGTGTGAATGTCAGTGTGTCTCTGTGTGTTTCTATTTGTGTATACATACTGTATACATATAGATATACATATATTCTTACTGCAGTGTAAGTCTGGCTTACAATATTTTTTTAAAAAAGCTATATAAATAGAATACTAAAGAACTATAAAAATACAAAATACAATAGCTAAAAGATAGGGAGGGAGGGAGGGAGGGAGGGAGGGAGGGAGGAAGGGAGGAAGATAGGTGGAGAGGAGGTGGGATCTATCAGCCAACTACAACATGAAATCCTGCGTTTATTATTTTTATAAGTAACTCAAGGTGTTGAACATATCCAATACACTTTCTTCATCCTATTTTTCCCACAACAGCAACTCTGTGAGGTGGATTGGGCTGAGAGAGAGGGACTGACCCAAGATCATGAGCCGA